GGGATTTGTATCCATACCATAAGGGATGCACTCAGAAAAATTAGCCAAAAGTTTAACTTAGGAAAAACTAATGTGGAGATTAGTCGAGGTCACCCCGGAAACCAGCATGCTTTACAGTGACACCAGGATTGTAAGCAGGGATCTGATTGGTTGAGATGAAGATGGGAAGGATTGTGATTGGTTGAATAAAGTAGCTAATGAGGGAATGAATGGGAAAGTGAACTGTTCCAAATGGAGCCAAAGTTTCATATTTGTTTTAGTTAGTCTTGACCTCTGACTAAATTTAGCTGCTATGTAAAAAACAAATTTTTACACCAGTTCTGATTTGTTATATTGTACATGTTTTCTTCAAAGAAAATGATGTAGTATTTGTGCATATAGTGTAGGAGATGTAGGGATCAGTTAGTATTTCTACCAGTTACCAGTAAACCTTAAATTTACATTTAACCATTTTCGGCCATATTTTTGCGCTAAATGTCAAAAGTGGGAGGATTTTTTTCATAACCAAAAATTTTTAGTATGTACTAACAGCATGTGTACACTTTTTTATATAAGAACTTTTTGCCAATTTAAAGCTCAAAATGTTCTTATTGTGTTTTTATTTTACATGCTTTTCAAAGATAAAATTATTATTGTACAGTAGATATATATTACTCTACTGTCTTCAGACGGTATTACATAGTCACACCTACTATGCCTAAGGTAGAGATAAGACCAAGATAATTTTACTGGTATTTTTTATTAGTTTTTTGAGGTTTTTTAAAAAATAAAAACATCATTCAACATTTTACCACAGCCTCAATTTGTTCTTATTTTGTTATTATTTTATTCAGTTTCTTATAAGATGCAGGAATACTTCTACTAGAGCAGGTACTGCTGGTCATTATAATTTGCCCAAACCGAGAACTGAAATGTTTAAAAGTAGTTTTATTTATAAAGGTCCGTCCTATCTTAATTCACTTCCTAATGACATACGAAATTGCAATACATTTTATTCTTTTAAAAATAAACTAAAAATAGCACTAAAATCATCTTAATGACTGCTTTTTATTAAAATTGAAATTTTATATCTTGTTTATGCAATTGTTTTTAAAAAATTTTAACGAAAATCTATTTTATAATTGTGCTTTATATATTTTACATGTATTACTGTATTTGTTTTGTTATAATGTATGTTTTGTATTTGTTATGAGGGCCTCTTTGAGTCAGCATCACTGTAAGAGCTACCCTCATAAAAGAAAGTTGAATAAATAAATACTAAATAAATAAAGATGTGTTTTTATAAAATAAAAAAAAAGTGTATATGAATGATTTACTATGAAAGGTATTGCTACCTGCTATACAAGACAGTAATATACCACACTTGCTAATGGCTATCCTTGCCCTTTAATAACTAAAATAAAAAGTAAGATACTTACAACAGAATATATAGTGATGAGATTATTTAATTTGTTTAATGAATATAATAATTATATTACATAATACTGCACATGCTCTAATGTCACTCAGTCGAGTAATAGCACAAAAGTAATGTAAGATCCTACATACCTATATATTACATTCCTTAAAACTATTTATGTATGTTTTTCATGTTATGTATCTTGTATACTTCTCATTTATATTGTTGAGGGCCCCTTAAAATCAGCTCAAGCTGGATGGGTCACCCTCTTGAAATATGGTTATATAAATAAATAATAAATATTACTTTACAGAGTGATAATAGTAGGTACTTTTCCCCTTGTTTTTATACCAGGTAGTACATATGGATATCAATATGTATCATACAATATTTTCTTGTTTTCAGTGAGTTTATTTGAATGTATTTGTATTGGTTTGATTTAAAAATTCAATTTAGATAATGAGTATGGGAAGTATGAATTTAATATTAATAATGCAATTATAATAATGGTATTGAAGAAACTGGCAATTTCCTTCTTATACTATTGGCCGTGAATACTCTTCAGCTGTCTTTTCTACTCACATGCCTCCTTACCAAATATTTAAAAATATTTTATAATAAATAAAGCTTATCCATGATACAAAGTATGGATATATAGAATATGGAGTAGTAGGCCATTTTTTAAAGAAAAGAAACAAAAAGGCCAAATATACACTTGTCAAAACAATTTTTATTTTGAATTTCTTCCCCACTTACAAATATTAATTTTAATAAGGCCTTATAAAAAATATTAGTTTATCACCATATCTAGGCTGGAAATTGATGAGGGAGGGAGACTTTTTTTTAAATTTTTTATTTTGCTAAAGCCAAATATCACCCTTGGGTTATTTGCTGGTGCATTGATATTCAAAGTAAAACATGATTTAGATAATACAAACAATATCTACTAACTATTTAATTTTAAAAAATGGAAAAAATATATTTTTTTGAGTACCATAAAAGACATGTGCGTGAGGGTGATAAGCTGTAATTTTCTTTTTATTGAGCCTAAACGCTAAGTATAAAAAGTCTCACCTCAGAAACATAATTGCAATTTTGGGCATGAAAACAAAAGGGGAACATTCTTTATGCCCATTCCCTCGCCAACACTGGTATATTACTTTGTATCATGCTGAAGGTTAAATTGCTTGCCTTTCAAACCTTGGTCTTAGGTTCAAATCCTATATTATTCAATATTTGTTTTATGACTAAAAATAACTTCTTTCCTGAAGCACCTTGCTGAGACTTGATCACCATACATTAAACACTCAAACCCTGTTTTTGATCCAATACGCTGTCCTCTGAAAACAAAAATAATTAAAATCGTTGACAAATATCATTGACAATGCTCTTGTAATACATTTCAAACTCATTATGTATAATCAAAACCTACTTACACTCCATAACAGTGGACGTATCTATTTTAATTTGTTTTCATTGTCAACTATACTCTACCTGAGTACACCCCCAGGCTAGGTTTCCTAAGCATTGTGGGAATCAGGTTTCAAGTTCAAACGCCACATTGACCTGCGTTATTCTACAATCAGTTTTTTTGTTGTCTTATAATAGAATAGAAACACTGAGAGAATACTTCACATTCTGTTTTATTGTTAACAAAATATCCTCATTTCATACAGTGTACCTACTGTATTACTGAATGCACAGATAGACAACAAAGCAACATTACATTTTTTAGTATAGAAACTAGGGGAAAAACATGAATTATTTCTGTTTATGTTGTTTCCAATTTCCACATATTTCAATGTTGATGATGATGATGATAATAAATATGATGATGAATGCATTCTCAATAAAAAATAAACCTTTTTTTCAATTCAAAGGATAACAATGTGGTGCAATGGTCTACTGATGTTAACAAGTTTGTTTATTTCCCCCTTACTCAAAGCAGCATTACATTTTTTAGTGTAATATAACTAGGAACAAAAACAAATTTTATTTTCTGTTATTTTCCACATTTTATTTGAATTTAATACAATATATGCAGAGAATAAGATTAAAACATCTTTGCAATGTACCAGTATAAATCTATGTAAATTGTAAACGGCACTCACATTGTACTGACAATTTTTATTACAACCACAACCTTTCTTCAAGTGAACTTTTTTTAGTTGTATTGTCAATATATTTAGCCCAAAAAAAAAAAAAAAAAAAAATTATTAGTTTATTTCCCTTGCACGCATGTCTTCTGTGGTACTAAAAAAAATGAATTTAAATTTTTTTTTTTTATTAAGTAGTTAGTAGATATTGTTTGTATTATCTCAATCATGTTTTACTTTGAATATCAACGCACCAGCAAACAACCCAAGGGTGATATTTGGCTTTAGCAAAATAAAAAAAGTAAAGAAAAGCCTCCCTCCCTCCCTCATCACTTTTCCAGCCTAGATAGAGTGATAAACTAACAATATTTTTTATAGGGCCTTATATCCTTTTTATTAAAAAAAAAATTAATTTTAATATGTTATTACTCTATTGCCTGTAATAAATATAATTAACATTTGTAAATTTATATATTGTCAATACTGTAGTAGGAAATTGTAAATATGAAATTTCAATAAAGAACAATATTGTTTTCTTGATGTAATTTTTTTTCTTGAGGTATTGATAATAAATTATGCAAATTATAATATTTTTGGTTAAGGAGTGTGAATGAACACAAATATAATATTTATTTATTTATTTATTTATATTTCATTTTTATCTATTTATTTATTTGAATATTTTATTGAACATTGTGCGAGTATACTCAACCAAAGTTATGCACTGTAACGGAAGATGATGATGATAAACACTTTTTTTTTTATAAGATCACATTTTATAAGAACACTAAGGCTGAAATTGCTTAAAAATTAAGCACAAAATATGAACAAATTGAGGCTGAGGTAAAATTTCAAATGAGGTTTATATTTTTAAATACCAAAATATTATATCTGTACATTATGTGCAGTAGGTGTGACTGTAATACCCTCTATAATACAATACAGTAGGTGTACCTATCTGACATTTGGGGGCCATTTTTTGTGTGGTCACTTTCACCTACATTCCAGTACAGTGCATACAACCGTACAATTAAATCTTTTTTTGTTTATAAGGTTTGTAAACTAAGAACAAAATAAGAACATTTTGAGCCTGAAATTGGCCAAAAAATAAGAACACTGAGTCTGGGCAAATTTTTAATGGTTCTTATAAAAAAAAAAGTGAATATGAATATCTATGCTCTACTGGAATATAATTTTTTGACTAAATTACATGTTGGCCTCTACAGCCAACAAAAACTCTTTCCCAGAAGAGCAAACTACAGTTTTAAACCATATTAACTTTTTAGTGTGTTCTTGGTATATATAAGCACATAAATAGATATTTCAGGACTGATAGGTTGCTAAACATGATGATGATCTTCCTTCCTGAACTGAGGCTAATTGGAAGTCTCACAAAAAGATTAAAAACAAATGTACCATTACAAACCACCGATAAATAATACATTGATTATAGAATATGTGATGTGGAGTTGATTAAATCATGAAATTTACAATAAACTCTATATTAATAAAGTATAACAACTTTATAATAATTTTTTGGGTTGAAGTTTTAAATTTACTTTAGTAGAATCAGCTAATCTCCAGGTCACATTCCTTGGTAAGCCAGGTTGTTGGAAGTTGTTAAAATGCAATTATGGAACTTGGAGGCCTACCAGTACTTGTGCAGTACAGTGCAGTACCAGCAACCTGTTCTGAAAGACTGCTGGTAGTAATTACCAGTGTAAATACTTTTATATCATTGTTCATCTGTTATATAGTATATTTCAGATAATTTTTTGATTGGGTTTTTTTTTTAACAGAGAGGAGTTTTATATTGTCTGATGCATCTTAAATATAAATCAATTTTTGTAAGCATCATTGACATTACAGTAGCTATAAATTAATATCAGGAGCAAGATGCTTCAGAAACATGGAGCATATTTAGCTATTAATAGTTCGAGGACCAAAGGGATCACAGCAGGGGGTAGGGATTTCAAAGCTACATCAGATAGTTCAAGCCCCATTGGCAATTATTTGTCGGACCCCTAAAAAATTATATATTTGCATCAAAATTTTTTATGCAATACATTGTAAAAATTCTCAGAACGGCTTAAAATGGCCCAAAATTGCAGTTTTTCTGGCAGCCACCACCCACAAGGGTCCTCCACCAGGGCTTTCCTCTCTGGGTCTGCCTTTTACAACCTGTGGGGTCAGGCGTATAAGACAACCTCCTTGTTTATTCGTACATTTTGCTGCTTTTTACGATCTTGATACTGCATCTAGCTGTCTAAAATCAGAGTCAAATGTAGGGCCAATCTTATAAATTTTGGTGCTTCCAAATTTTCGAAATCTTATTTCTCCGCGAAATGCGTTCATTTATAACAATTAGTAAGTCTAGCTTCATTTCAGTAGTAGTAAATTTACATGTTACAGATCCGCACATAAGATGAATATGATTTGAAAATCAAAAATTTATATGTTGTGCGTTTAAGACAACCTCTATATTTCGTTCGTTGTCTTTGTCTTATATAGTACTTGAGAATATACGGTAGTACTAGAGTAGAAATAGTAGCAGGGGGTAACCAAAGAAAAAGAAAAAGTCTAATTTGTAATTTCATGAGTGTAGAAACAGGGGCAGATCCAGAATAGGTGAGTAGCACATAACATTGATTTGCATTGAAATTTTTAAAATTTAGTAGCAAAATGGGGGAATGTGCCCCCCATTCCCCCTGCTGGATCCGCTCTTGAGAAAATCCATAATTTAAGAAAAGTCCACACTATCAAGTTTTATGTGACAGACTTGTGTGATTTGCCCATATATGGGCATGATGATATCATATTACACCTAAATATGGGCATATCACAGTTATTTGTCACATAAAATTTTTACAGTGTGGACAGACCTTTGCAAATAGTAGCCTGAGGTTTATATAAATGCTACAGGATTTGAACCCAAGACCCTGGAATGTGAAGGGAAGCATCTTAAGCACCATGCTTAAGCACCATGCTTCAGCTCCATTGCATCCATGGTACAGCTGGTTTTCTCAAAACCTTTTCATATAGTCAATCTTCTCTGCAGTTGAAAACTAAGTACACTACTGCACCACCTAGGCCAGCACCATGGCCATGTTCATCATCTTCATCTTACTCATTGTCATAATCATTAGTTTCTCATCCGATTGTTTTACAGTACATTTGTGTAATTTCCGTTCAGAAAATGAAAGGTTGTGAAATATTGTAGCCAGATAAATAAACATGTGAATAGAAGAAAATATATTGGCTAGCACCCAAACCACAAATATGGGTTTACACCTTCTCAGAAAAGGAATCTGTTTATACCAAAGTTGGCATCAGTTATGTTAAAGTCCTTGTTTTCATTCAGATGCATTATTAACCTTGATATTTTTTTTATTCACTTCACTCAGATCCGATTCATTGATAAAAACAAACAAGCAAATCCTTAACATTGTCAAAATTTGTTAAAAACATCCAATAATCCTGTCTACTAGCAATGGTGCAAGAAGGGTGAAGTAATTCAATTTTGATTTTTTTTTGGATAACACTATCCCTTGTTTTATGGCTGAAAAGGTGTCTCCTTAATATGGGTGTTCCAAAATGAGGGGTTCTACTGTATTAATACTAATATTTTGCTTATTTGTTATGTTCTGAAGATATTTATTCGCTTTAAAAAAATTAAAAAAACATTTATTAATATGAGGGATTTTTTTTGTTCTGATTTCCAAGTAAAAGTTAATAACTTGACTTAAAAACACAAAGTATGCAATTCATGTTTTAAATGTTAGTGTTCAAGGTTAAGAATTATCAATCTTTGCTTAGGAAATTGCTTAAGTCAAAAAAGGATGAGGTGGGCCTTAAGCAAACTACTTATGCTCATTTATCAAACCATCTTAGCAGAGTCTTAGCTAAAAATTCAACCTAGACAATTATATTGACACAAATGCGTACATGCAACTTTGAAATCAGCCATTGTATTGTAAGGGTACGTACATGTAGCATTTCACAATTGTTTGCTAGCAAGAATAGATTTTAGCAATGTGTAGTGCCTGAACTAAACTTTAAAAGCAATGTAAAATCATGAAGACAGACCTTTTGAACTTTGTAATAAGCATTATCAAAAACGAGTCATTTACGATCTTAGACCTAATTTTTTTTGTGCATTGGCCTGTTGCCATGCTTCATCAACCACTTTCAAGTAGCCTTTTCAGTACCACGTTATGGATGAATCGCAAATGTAATTCACTATATCCACCCTGCAATAAGATAAAAATATTTTCATCCTGAGCAAGGTATATGTGCACCATAAAAAAATGTAAGCTAATATTTTTGTAAAATTACTGATAAAATCTGACTTCATTAAAATCATGAATTTAAGGCAAATTTTAAGATGATATTTTTGCTAAGTAAGTTTGATAAATCCATTCCCAAGTGTATTACCTCACCGCAGATAGTTTATCTTAAGTTTTCTAAAAATAATGACTTGCCTTTTACCACTTTGTAATTAGGATTGATGGTTCACAAGAAAAAAAAACATTTCCTATTTAAATCAGATTTTTTTTAGCATGTTTGTAACCATATTATCTTGTCAGCATTGCAGATTACATCTGTACCAGTCAAATAATGTCATCACTCACCACGATCTTGATGAATCCATGTACAGGCAAAATTCAGCCTAACACATCATCATTAGTTTTTACAAAGTTTCCACCAATCACAAGTTACGAATATCCGAGCCAACATGATTGAGAGAACCAACCTTGCCATCAGCTGAGAGATTGGAGAGGAGGCAGTTGTTGATTTTCAATGGAACGCTGTCACCAGCTGGAAGATGAAAGTGATTTATATTGCTTCGTTGACATCCATGATGGAAAGGCTTCTTGTCGAAAGCTTTTCAGGAAGAAAAAGAATTGTATTATAGTTCATCTTCTGTCAAAAGACTCCTTGAACTGCTGACTGGTGTTACGAACTATAGCAAGAAAAAATCTCCATCAGGTACGGATGCCAATCTTCTGGCAGACATCACATTTGTAGTGTGTGTGGAGTTACTGTACAGTGGCTGCCAACTGATGCCTCAATATTTATTATGCTAGAACTTCAACAAAGATGGTGATATGTAGTCATCTGAAGATAGTACAGTATTGCACTATGTTTAATAACATCAGTTTTTTTGTATAAGAAGTTCAAATCAATGATGTAACATAACTTGTTTAAATACACATTGCTTTTAACCCACGTTTAAGAGTTCCATGTAAAACACAAAATGGATGGTGAATCCACGCACTTATTACCAATCATTCTAGTCTGCGGTTTTATTTAGGGAACTTCTTCAAAATGTGATCCCAAGATACAATGCGTTTTGGTCTCATTTTGTAACATTTGTCTTATATGTGACCCTTAAAGCCTATTGTTCAATGTCTTCTAGGATTATAGCGTACCAAGGATATTATTAGCATATTTATGAGGTTGATGCTAATGTTTTGAAAATAATAATGTTGCAGAAGGCTAGCCCCTTAAGATTAAGTCGTAAAAATAGTTATACAAGTCTCAAACCATAAAATTATTTGGACAGTGTTTTTCTCATTTATTATGGCAGATTTTTTGATAATTCAAGTCCATTGGATAGAATATTTCACAGAGCAGTCATAGTAAAACATTAATAACACCTAATTGGAAACACGTTAAGGTAAAAGAACTTTTAAATTCAGAGACTCAAAACAATGGAATAATTTACCTGCTGAATTAGTACTACTGCAACAGAAAAAATAAATGAATTCAAAAATTCTATCTATATTAATTCAAATGTGATTTAGTTAAGATATTTACCTATTCTTACCATTTTTTATTAATTTTTTTTTTTACTTTGTTTACTTTACTTTAATTACTTTTTACTATACTTTGTAACTGGACCATTTGGAAAAGCAGTACTACACTACTGAAAATGCAATCCAGTAAAATTAAAGAATAAATAAATAATAAAATATAATTGATATAGCACTTACGGCAATTATCGTAGTCCGTATATGGAAGGTGTACCACATATATGGCAAAAATGTGGTCCATATATTGCAAATATTATGAATAGTAAGTATAGCAAATATATTGCTTAGGCCTATACCGTACGGTATATGGCTACACATGCCAAAAATATGACCCAGATAATTGACATATATGGCCAACAATATGAGCCACATTGGTAAAGTTAATTTAGATCCTCATATATGGCATTATTAACAATAATAATCAATACTTAACAATATAAAGACCCCACCATTTTGAAAAAAATCCCTGTATTAAATGATTATTCATTCATGAAATTTTGGAGAACAGAACTAAGGTACTAAAGTGTGATTCAATAGAATGAAACTATAACTATTTCTGGAGGCCTACTTGTTATTTTCCCTGTTGTGTTATAGTCGCTGCCCTTGATCTCTTTACAGAGAATAGCTTGCCGAACGTGTCAGACGTATAATAAAATTGAACTTGAGAATTTAATTGCCCTAATAATGGGCTTAACTTCAAGTGCCACAAGATAAAGTATAGAAATACTCATGACAATAGATACTCGCACGGTTCTATTCTTATCACATTTTTTTTTTATCACTCCTTTTATTACCAAAATTGAGATGTGTGTGTCTGCTGCTATAACCTTCCTGGTCTGATCTGGGGCACTATCTGACCCAAATACTGGTGAGACACTGATTTCACCCGGGCATTGATGACTGGGGCTGGTGTGACCCAGACAGTGGTCTGGGATACACAATTTTTTTGTATTAAAAATAATAGGTTCCACTTACAATAGCAGATATTGTATGCCAGTTGCACTGTGAAGTATACAAGGAAGGTCATTATTTTGTATCTGACCTTTTGTCTGTTTTTTTAATATTAAAAATGAAATAAACTACAGTACAGTGTTTATATTTGTTAAATTGTTTTTCTTGTTCTCAAGTAACAAACTTAAGACTGGCAGAAAAATATGGAAAATTAAATTCATAAACTATTGGTATAATCATTTTTTTTTTAAAGGAGACTTGTATATTGTGCCTTGAGTCAAAGATTTGATTGGATTGAACAATGTAAGAAAATAAAAATAAATAGGCCTAAATAAAAAGAATCAATATTAAATCCATATTCTTAAGCTAACTAAATAACAAGTTATACAATGGCCAAAGGGAAATTCTACACATTTTGCCTCCATTTAGGAATAATAATTTAGGTAATATACAAAGCAATTTATAAATGTTACTGAAGTATATATGAAATGAAAAATCATTTTAAAGGGTGAAAAAAGGAGGTTGACATTACTTTGAAAAATGTGGATAAACCACCAAACAAGATAAAAGAAGACAGAATGAGATAGAAAAGAGAACATGATGATAGAACAGAAAACAATGTTGAAAATCTGAATACATAAACATAGACTGAAACATCTGCACTGTAGTGATGAAAACAGGAGATAAACTATATGTTCAATATTTGGATGTCATGTTATAATTTTGATCTATATACATCTTGATAATTCGTCTCAAAAGTGAATAGGTCTTTCAGTTTCCCTTTTTATTTCCGTTAAAAGTTGTCAATATTGTCCCTCGTGATCTTTTTTTTGAAGGCTTTGAAACCCTAAACCTTTATTTCGAGAATAGATAACTGTTTATGAATGACTAAGGGGAAATATGCACACAAAAATATCCACAAAAAATAAACCTTAATTTTTCAATTCTTCACTTGCATAAGATAGCCCTGTTTATAGTTTTTTTCTTTTGTATTTTTATTGTGTTTCACAGAAGCAAAGTCGAATCTATGTTCTGTTGTACAATGGAATCAACATCTCTCCATATGCATACCACAAACCTTGTTTCTTGATCTTTGCATTCGTACAAATAATCCTATAAATGATATATATGAATTGTATATTTTTTAATGAACTCTTAAAACTAGTTATATTTTGATTGAAATGATTTTATTGTCTATCCAAATGCTGAAATATTATTATTACTGTGTTCTAATCTTTGCTCAAAACCCTTGAATTAATATTATTGTAGACCTTATTATAATTGTAACAGTCTTTGTTGAAAAGAAAAGTAACTGTCGGTGAGATTGTACTGTCCAACTGATAGTGTGCGGACATGTCAACCTGTAGAGAGATGGTAATAACTTCTGCCTCTGCCTAAGCTTTTTCTGAGGGTTTTCATATGTAAAAAAAGTCTTTAAATCAGATAAAAACAGAAATATTTTTTGATTTGGGAAAGTTTATGTACTATCTATTTTTTTTTCTGCCTGTCATGGTTTGTTGGTCTGTATTCAATTTGTTTTGTTTTGTTTCTCGTCTTGCCCTGTGCTGTCCCTGTCTCCTTTGTTAATCTCCTTTTGTTCGTTTTAGGCTGTCCCACCACAAGATTTGCTTGTCCTATCTTCTCGGGTCTTGCCTTCTTCCTTTCACTTGTTTAAATTCAATTTACATAAATAATTCCTTGTATTCACTTTATATTTTTTTAAGTAAATTCTGTTGTTATTGTATTATTAAAAAACAAAGCTCATAAATTTTGCTTTGATTGATTGATCAATTAAAAGTAGAATTAATAAACTAACAACTAAATAAATATTTTGTAACACTGACAACATCCTATAGATCATTGAACAGATACTCTTTAGCTGGTATGCACTAGCCATTAATGTGGTTACACTTCACAACACAGGAAAATAATCTGCACACCTATCCACGTACATATTTCCAGGAACGCGATCACCTGTTAGCTAAACCCCACACAGGAAGACATGTGTGCGATGAAACGGAAACACCAATACTTAGCACAGCATATCTGTCAATTATAACCATCCAATTAGGCTCTCGTAGCATAAGCATGTGTATGCAAATGAGGTTTAATTTGCATTATTCATATAAAGAGTTATTATTTAATAAAAGACAATTGAATTCTATTACTTGATATCAATTTCATATGGTTTGAAAGAGTCAAGGTGACAACTTTTGATACAATTTGTTGTGATGTATGTTGCGTATATCAGTAGAAATATACTCTCGTAAAATGCATATATATTTTATATTCATTTCACATACCTCAATATATCTAGCTATATACATCTATATAAAATAATAGAGGGAGAAAGAGTTTAAAATCAGAAAAACAGATTGACATCTTTTGGAAGATGAATACAATTTATTTTAACTACAGTACATTATTAGCACTGCATTCACAATATGTACACATAATAATAACACAGATAAAAAGTTCATTTGCTGCAATTTAGTGATTTATTTTACAAAATACAAGTCTCCAATTAAAGACCACTTTCCTGTGGTCCCAAATTAACAAATGTTTTTTATTTTTATTATTCTAATTAGAAACCAAAGCTGCTAAAGACCATGTAAACCCAGTCCCAATAGTGGTATTTAATTGGAGGGAGACCTGTATTATCAACATACTGCCTGTTAAGTATTTATTATACAAACACGAAGGAGCTATGCTACCTCAGCATCGAGGTGATGGATCCCAGGTTACCAGCTTTTTACAGATATTGAATGTTTATTGATTTTGATTTTCTATTAGTAAACTATTAATATTTTTCTTTCTTTTTGTCCATTTACAAATTAAAGAACCAAAAATCCTTGATATAAATAGTGATGGATTGGTGTATGTTCTCAGGGGAGCAGCTAAGACAAGTAATAATGATGATAATAATAAATTTCTATATCTATCGATCTACCCCTCACTATGATCCATTCGTTCATCCATTTATCAATCTAAATTCTTCCTCTGTTTATCCACCCACCCATTTCTATAGCAATTCTTCAGTCAGTTCATCCACCCACCAATTTGGCAGACATTGTAGTAAGGATCAATTGTGTGACTGATTGACCATACTGATACATAGTTTGTTTTTCTACACTGCCGCAAAAAATTATGGATGTTTTATATATATATTTTCAAATATAATTCCTAGATATTTTATAATAAAAGTTGGAGCCATATTTTATGTGCATTTTAAACTTAACTTTCCAACGTGACCATTTTCAGTAAAAACCACAGACGTTTTCAGTGTTACTACGATGATTAAATTTTACGTTAATGAAAATATAAATTTTACAGCGTATGTTAATTTCATTATTAGTTTCTGTCCATTTTTGGTTACAGGCTGTGTAATGTAATTAAATTTGATAACCGTTTTACAATGTTTGTGGATTAAACTATTCAGAATACTTTAGAATCCTATAAATTCATATTTGTCCTTGTGTTACTTATTATAATGGGTCTTATGTGTAGCTATTGCTGTCACTTTGCCAACGGGTCGGCAAATTAGCCAGCGATCAACGTATACAGCACATACTGACGTTACCCTACTGACCCCGGTTGACCTCTGAATAATGCGCTCTAAACTCGGGAGAAATCTGCCGGTCACGGAGCATTGACGTCAGTCATCAACTCGCCTTGACTGTCATTTCACGATAATTTGAGGCATAGTATTAAACAACAACGCCCAATACTACCTCTCCTATTAGCATTTTCGCCAAGAAGCCTTCTTGGAAAAAAAAATGTCTTGTGTTTCTCTATTCATATCAAATACCTATATTCCCTGCTGACCGGTATTCCAAAAAAACATGCGAAAAATCTTTCAATAGAAACACTACCACAACAGGCATTTTTGATTTTCATTTATGTACCTTTTTATTTTTTTAATCTGGTACATTTTACAATACAGTTCGTCCCTCAAGATAAAATATCTCTTGCGAGAGTAAATTCTTATATTTTATGTTAGTACAAACTTAAACATTATAATGATATATTTATAGTATATTAATATACATGCTTGTAGGTAGGACATTCTAATGCTTATACTTGATGGAATTGATGGAATAACAATGTTTGTTTTCATACTGGTATGCTATTATCGGTAGTATATATATTATATTTTCTCTTATATATGAGTATGGTACAGAAGATGTGAAAAAAACAATTTAAAAGTAGCGAAGGAAAAACATTTTTGTATGGTCTGTGGAATAATGTCTATAAATAATCTTTAACCACTTCAACATGAGTCGGAAATAACATATGAAATCAAATAGTAATTTATTCTTGAACATGCTCTTTTAATACATTTGCAGTTGCCAAAGTGATCCAAATTTATCAAATAACATTATTTTTGAGAAATAAAATCGAACTCGTATGTGACATATAAATTTACTTAAAACGTGATGAGTTAATATTCTCCTTAAGAGATTGAAAATAATTGTGTCAGAATATAGACAGATATAATGGGAGCGCATTCCATTATATAGTTTACCTGCCCTGTTTTTCTGTGGGTATTGTTCCATATTGGGACAATTGAATCTGTTAAATGATTGATTTCTTATGTTCATAACACTCACATTAGTGAATTAATATTTGAATGATATGTAGGCTTATACATGAACCATTGAAGTAGAATATAGATATTGTCATTTAAGTACTTTTATGAACATTTTTATTTAGTTTATTATAACAATATATTATGTTATATAACAATATAAGACAATAAATTTTATCTTGTATTACTAAATTTGTATTTAGTTTATTATTTCTTTATGTAGTTGGGACATATGCAGGATTGGGTGGTAGGTGGTGTACAAGAATCCCCACCACCTCAGTTCCACCATGGTTGGGGCTGAGGTGAGAAAATTTTGAGAATATGGATGGATATCAAGGTGCCTGGAAATTGCACTGTCATACTTTTAAAATCTACTGGTATTATATTTTAATAATAAAAATAATATATCAACAATACAATACAAAAATTATTTTTCTTAATACAATTAGTTTTTTGTGACATGCCTAAATATAGTTGTGATGACATCACATCATGACCATATATAGGCACATCATGACCATATATAGGCACATCATAACTGCCCATATATAGTCAT